GAGGCCCGGGTACAGATGCTGCTTTGTTTATTGAACATGCTAAGTGTTTAATGATCACCGCAGGGACACACTCAGCACTCTAAACGGAACATGACATCACAGCGAGAACCTGGGGAACCTGGCCAGTCAGTCATGGCCGCCTGGTGTATCTGTTACTTAGAGTACACACCTCTAGAAGCATTTAGAATTTATTATTAGTGTCATCTTGAGAACAGCAAGGTACTTAGGAAATCTTCAACAGCTTCACAGTGTAAGGGCAGATATTAAGGGTATAACGATTTTAATACAATATCAAAACAAAGACACAGTGTCACCGATACAAAGCACTGCTCTTATGAAGCACCAAAAGCTACTTGAGTGTTAACAGCACACCCTTATGGAGAATTTCCCACCTGCTAAACATGAGTGAGCAAAAAGCCAGGTTCATAAGCGTCCTCGCATCTAAAAATGAGCAATCAAAACAGTATATGGTGATCTGAAACAATCACTGGTACCACGCATAATGCTTAGTAGAGGCAAAGCCACCCAGAGAGAGGATTCCCAGCCACAGAACCAAGCTCATGACTACCCGATGCCGTGGCTGACACTTAGACTGAGACACTTGGGACTCATGGACACATGCAATATAATAGGGCTGAACAATTAATCATTTTATATATTAAAATCACAATCTGAAACATCCTGTACAGAGAATATACTTCTTCACATTCAAATGCACACTTACTCATCATTTGAATTTAACAAATTGGAAAAATAAGTAAAACATAAAATATGGCTTGTGTTAAAGTAGTGGCAGGTGTTACAAAATTATTTTCCCCAATAGGTCAAATGCAGCACATAAATAGAAAGTGTGCATTAAATTCTGCCTTTGCCTATTTAACTTCCCTGTAGAGGATATGTTAACTTAATTTCAATTAGAAAAGCGACAAAACATTTGCTCAGTCATATACAAGGTAAAACATCTGCAGCTGGAGCAATAAAGTCTACTTTAAAGCATATAGTGAGAACACAAGGTTGAGTTATACAAAGCAGAAAAACCATAGGGTCATTAAGGCCTCCCACAGGTCACTAACTGCTACAGCTTGATCTACAATTTGATTTAAACTCATCTGTTAACATACAGCACACACTCAGAGCAAAGAACTTACTTTTTTCTGACCAACACCTGCTTCCTTATCTTAACGACCACAAGAGGGCACTGCATTATGTACAAATTCTGTACAAATCAGTGCTGCAGCTGAAGCTTTTCCTCTTCCACACCCAAGCCTGAAAACTCATACCTCACAGCTGATACTGGATCAGCTGTGAGACGAACTACGAGAAGGGGACCAGAACACCCTTTTACATGCAAGTTCTTCATTAGATCAAACTCCACTTGTGTCAGACTTGGCAAAACATCATGACAGTGCTTGCACTAGACTCATGTGGGTTCATCCTGCAGATACCAGGAGCATGGAGGGGGAACAAGGCTAGCAACACTGGAAACTTGAAACTGTAAACTTCCTTCAGTGCACTGGGGAGAACGTTTACTGGACTCTCTGCGTGCCAAAACAGCAGCATCCGTGAGCATTTAAGAGCGGATGTGTCGAGGAGGATTGCCTCTTTTTCCTCTCAGTGTACATATACATGCTTCAAAGGCTTCCTAACATCTGCTCACTGCCCCAGGGTGATTTTACAAGCATTTCTGCTCTGGCCAAAAACAGAGAGATGAGTCTTCCCTGCAATAGGACTATACACACACACACACACACACACACACACACACACACACACACCAGGTCAAGCTGCTCCTTTGGAAATAATGAAATCCCTGGTCACAAACCTATGAAAACCCTATATGCAATGTAAGCTAGGAAATGCACAGTAAATGAACAGGAAATTCACTATGCAGGACCCGAGCAAATCCTCCCCCCTACAGTAATCTCATAATATACACAGGGCGTATGCACAGTGATAGTAAGGGTCTTGACGGGCGCTCATGCCCTCGGGGTATTGCTACACCCGGCATAGTGCCAGAATACACTACTGCTGCCACAGCCAGCACACCAGGCACGTAGGCCTCTGCTAGGAGCTCTCAAAGAACAACTAGGCGTGATGATAGAAATCCATTAGGAGAGACTCTGACTCGAACCTCAGAAACACAGTTTTGTACAGTATACGAATCAAACAAAAACGGGAAATTCTGAGCAGATCAGGGCAGCGGACGTTGAAGGTAGCTGTTCTATTCATAATTTCATAATTAAAAAAAATATATAAATCACTGGATTTAGTTTAGGTGGTGATAGAAGAATCACTTTTGGTTCCCTAAAAACCTTTCAACAGATGATTCTTTAAAAGAAACATTTTGAGATGATGCAGAAAGGTTTAAAGAACCTTCAATATAACGTAGAGGTGCTGTACCAATTAAAGGGTCCACATCATAATAAAAGTAGCTGTTTTATATATTAAAAAAAAAAAACTACACTTTTCTGAATTCAGTGTGTTTGTCATGTCACAAAAATCAATGAATTTAAATACAAGTCTATTCAGCCTATAAAAGTTTAGCCCCGCCCATTCACGTTGGCTTTAAAAGGAGTCTTTCAGCTCAGACTGCTTTATGAATGACCCAATCAGAACAAAGGTAATTTACCTATCATTACCTTTCATTCAAAAGACATCTTAACAAAACCAGTCTATTTAATTCTAAGGAATAAAGAGAGGCTGGAAAACAGTCTGTAAAAATGAATTACGACTGCTTTTGATACATAAAATCACAAATATTATAAGTGGACCACAGGGGAAAAACATAAATACTAGAAAAGGAGGAGGATATGGGCCCTTTCAGTGGTTTCCTAGAACTGTCCATCCAAGCAAAGAACCAATTAGGAACCTTTATTTTTTTTAAGAGTGTAAGTGAATTTGAACAGGAAAAAGAGGATTCAGGATGTGTAAAACGCAATGGGGTGAAGCAGGAATGTAAATCACAGCATATATCTAACTGTAGAGTCCAACAGGTTCCACATGTTTTAATCCTTCTATGCTAAAAAGTACAGGAACCATAAAGGCTAAGTAAGGTGAGTTTCTTACGTGTGTTGCATACAGGCTAAGGTGTCTTGAGGTACAATAGCAGGTGAAATCGCTTCATTAGCACAGCATCCGTATATGACCTGAACACTTTTCCTCATTCCATTAGCAACAAACCACCACCAAAGTGCCTAACATTAGTGACCTTCACCTCACTTTTGGTATGTACCATGGCTAAAGCAGGAAGGAAAGATAAAAAAAAAAAATTATATCCCTACATACTACATGCCATCCGTGCATTATACGAGACAAAGGCACTTAAATTTCACACCACGTCACCAGCAAGCACAGAAGACAAAATGACGTTTAGGGCTGCACGATACAGACTTTAAAATTCGGTGTTAAATAAAGCTGTTGGATCTTGTGGTGACATGAGAAGTGATGCATTATGATTAAATAGTGTGCCTCTTTAAGCCAACAGCAAAAAATACAAACTTACAAAAGCCCCATTCACCACTGTGCAAAATGAAAATAATGGAATATTAATATTTAGCAAGGACACATTTTTGCGCATCGTAGACTGAAAGGTTGGGATTTCCTGAACAGCTTTTCCTATAAAGGCTACCAAAACAAATAAACGAATAAATATATGAATGAAAAAAAGAATAAACATACATTTAATTCTCCTTATGGTCATGCAGGTTTGTTGCAACAATAGCCATTAATGCTTCACACATTTTACACACAACACCAAGAACAAGAATAAATCACCACAATCATTATCACAAATAACTATTAAATTACAATTTATCTGTTCTAACAGCCAAGATAAAACTTCCTCGTTCAGATAAAATGACCGCAGATACGGTACCTCCCAATTTAAGAAGTATCAATAGGTTATATTTTTGACCACTCCTAGTTTAAACACAATCATAGGTAAAATTAGAGAGAGGATTTCTTACTGAAGAGGCTTTTCAGTCTAAATCCCGGCTTCCACTACACAATTTTTAGCCCAATTCGCCCCTTCTGACAAATTTTCACAATCTGAAGTAATTTTCAGGTTGAGAGCTGGCAAGAGCAAGTTTCCTAGAAAAAAAAGAAATGAGAGCAGGCTGCTCCTTTCTTTAACAATCTGTTTCAGCATGGTAGGTTGCATGGTAACACCACTGAAAAGCCTGCTTAAATCAGAGAGGAAAAAAAAACAACAAAAAAACAAACAAGCTGAATTTTTGCTCAAAAACGTGTAAGCTCAGTTTGTTCCTGCTATGGTTTGGCGATTTTTAGTATCATCTGGTAGTTTTTACAATGGGTTTAACAAACTGCATGTTTACAGCCTTTAAATTGCTTATTGTTAAAATAATAAGACAGCTACAGCTTAGAGTGAAGCTTATATAGGCTACAGGCTACTGTTACTGTCATTATAGACTATTGTTACTATTATTAGGAGGTTTAACAATTACAGGCTTTGTTTTAAAAAGTGAAGCCTTGTGCTGCGGCAGAATGTTCTGAAGCAACCAAGATATTCAGACTAATATTAAAATGGACTACATATTAAATGAAAACAAGCTAAAAGATTACAAGACAAATGTAACATCTTTATGCCATGGACAACACATTTTGCATTTTTTACTTGGTCATCGCAAATGATGGAATCTATCAGCAATTCACAATACCATCATAAATCGGCTCAAGCCTACTGATAACGGAGGAAATGTCGAGTTTAGAGTGACCGTAGCCGAAACGCAATTGTGTGACACCCTCTCTTTGCCTAATTATATAGTGTAGTGCCCTGATGATGAAAAAAAAAAGAAGAAATTTTGTAAAAGACCGATGCTACGTGTGTGAGGCTCACCATTTTCCGTCAGATTTTAAAAGACATGTAGTGTACACCCGCCTTAATACTAGACTTAATCTGACTCCTAATGTGTAAACTCTATGCGGTTCGACAACAGTTTCTGCACATGTCCGCGCCAAACACACTTTCACTACACTCCTACCATGGTATCGGCGGATGTTGTGTTCATTGGGTCTCGGCTCCAGCTCCTCCCGCACTCCTCCTCTCTCTCCTCCTCTCTCCCACGCTCCTGCTGTGGCTTTGCTACAGCTCCTGCTAAAACAGAAAACACCAGAACCATGAGTCAGAAACGCAGCGCAGCTCTGGGCCTGCTGTGTGTTCAGAAACAATTAAGCGCATCAGTTTCTTTGCATCATTTGTAAGCTCCCATTTACCCTGTTCTTGAATAGTCAGGCCCCCACAGGACCACCACAGAGCAGGTATTATTTAGCTGGTGGATCATTCAGCACTGCAGCGACACGGACATGGTGACGGTATGTTAGAGTGCTTGTGTGTGTTGCTAGAGTTTTGAAACAGCTCAGCCTCACTGCTGGACTGAGAATAGTCCATCAACCACAAATACCCAGATAACAGCATCCTGTGGTTAGCAGCCGACCATTGATGAAGGAATAGAGGGTGACTGACACACACTGCGCAAGCAACAGATGACGTGTCATCTCCAACTTTACATCTACAAGTTGGACCAACAGTGTACGTGTGTCTTACAGAGTGGACAGTAAGTTTAAAACACGTATATTTAAAAATGTCCAAGTCTGATGAGCTCTTAATAGACAACAAGGCCTAGTTTTCATGCACCATCATAAATTGCTGCCTGCCGTTTGTCAAAGCATTGTTTTAATTGAAAAGACTTGTGTTTTAGGGATACAAAAATGCTTTTGTGATTGCGGCCTGAACGACCGCAAATGAAATTTTCCTTGACCAAGAAATGTAGCAAAGTGCAAGAGGAATCTACTTCTGGTAAGTTTTCGGTTTTTTTTTTCCCCTGCTGAGATCATCTAGGTAAACCTCAACCACATGAATTTGCAACTCTTAAGAAGCATGAGCCAATAGAAAACAAGAAGACGAGTTACAGTCTCTTCTAGAAATGCTGTTAGTGTCCTTCATAGTCCTGTGAGTGACCATTTGACCAGATTTGGAAGCATGTATTATGAGGGTTCTTTAAGACTGTTTTCTTTGGAGGCTGCTTTCTTGGGAATGCGTGGCATTTAGGATTTTATCTGTTCAGACCTCCCTTGTAACAGGGAAGAAAAAGTTAAGGCTTTCAGTCTGACACTTTGAAGTGTTTAGAAAATGTGAGGATAGTACAAGCAGTCTCAAGGCGTTTTCACACTTGGACAATTTCAGGACCGCTGAGCCATGATTTTCTGTGCATATGTAAACACGTCAAACTCACTAAGATCCCTCTAAACGGCCCCAAAAACCAACTGAACTCAGACCACCTACCGAGGTGGTCTCTGTTTGGTTCGTTTGAGGTTCCTGATTGATTTGTGCCTGCTGACAACAAAACAGCCCCAGTCTGCTTTTACTTTATGGCAAAGACCTCAAGGCTCGCCGAACACACACAGCCACAGTCTTCCAGCATTTCAGCAGGTAAAAAAAAAACAGACCACCAAGGATCATTTATAAAAGGTACAAATAATAAACAATGAATGAATGAAAATTCACCATTGCTCTCTCAAACACATTATTCTCATTGCAGATGCAGATTTTCACCAGGGGAAAACAGAACCCGCCTCAGAAGACACGCAGTGTCATTTTTCCAATTTTGTGCGATGCACTTCAGCCAATCATTTCAGCATGGCCAATAGGAGAGCATCTCACCAACCGAAAGGTTAGTTTTATCAGAGAACGCTGCCCACTATGCGAGCACTGCGCACACCATAAGTGGTGCGAAAGGGGTCTGAGTTCTAATGGAGCTGTGGTCTGAACAAGAAGTTGTCTGAGATCTCATCGAAAAAGGACCAGAAAGACTAGAAAAACTAAAAAAAGCAGTTGGTTCCCCTTTCAGGTTCACTTGAACAGAACTCAGCGTGGTGCATTTAAAAAGAACTATGTGAAAAACACCCTAAAACAAGCTGAAAAACACACCATGTTTCACACCAACTCTCTCACACAGTGGAGAAAGTTATCAGTGTCATGGCAGTAAACTTCTTGGTCAGTCAAAGGCCAGCAACATTTCGCACACTAGGCCTATGCCCAGTGACAGTTACATAAGTTACAGCAGTAATAGTCGCCAACGATGGTAAAAAGTTGTTTACCGCCAGTTAAAACAAACATTGTTCATTTACTGATTTTACGCAAACTACAGCAACACGTATTTCTCCACGTGAACATAACTGAACTTTAAACATGTTGGGTGAACAGCTGCAAGAGCTGTTCAAGTTTCATGAAACATCAAATCAAACACTGCATTTATGGACAAGAAAGGAAAACAGAAGCTGGTTTATTGGGCAGTTGAAAAGGACACCCTCCCCTGACTGACTCAAGATTGGCAGTTTTTCATTTTGTCAGTTTGCTGAGCCATTACAACAAACGTAAGATTCTAAAAGTTAATATTTCTGGAAACAGCTGCGTTAACTAGCCAGCTAACGCTAATAGCTGTTTAAACAGCTGCTTGTGCCACATTTTCTTCCTCTTTAGCTGCTGTTAACATGGCCTATGTAGCTAGTTTTGTTTTCTCCTCTTGATACCCCCTAATTGTATGCAGAGCTCAGATTATTTTGGAATCCAAGGTTGAAAATTATTACAAAAGAGAGGACTTATGTGGTCCTCAATGAACTTGTAGTGCTTCTAGAACAAAATGAGTGAGACATCAAGTAGGCTTCATCCGTAATGGCTACTCAACCGTTAAATCTCAAAGGTTTAACATACACACCGCAGATAAAAGCTCAAACAGATCACAGAGAACACTAGATAGATAGATAAATGACACATATAGATATAGAAAAAAAAAAAAGAATGTCAATGATAGCTAGGAAAAAAATATACAAAGATGACACAAATGCTGCAAATATGTAAATTACACCTCACAGATGACGTTATAGCGAGAATTATGTGAGGTATCAAAAATATGAGCTGCTAATTTAGCCAGCTAGAGGAGTAACTACAAATGTTGTGTGAAACTTTGATTGCTTTTGAATTGGATTGTCAACTGTCAAGTTCATGTTGCAGACAACTTACAACATGCAACTAGCTGCATGAAAGGTTCACCACGTAAAGCCAGCCTAAAGCACCCCAGACACAGTAAAAAAAGAAGGTCTGGCTGTCTAATTAACCTTACTCTCTAAGCTATTTACAGCCTCAGCGCATGTGTGTGGGCAAGCATGTACGTCTGCGTCTGTGCAACACAGGAGCAGACACGCACATAACAACATACTCTGCTTTACACCATTCCAACCTGCCGAGCCGACCTTGATCGTGAGCTATACGCTCCTTAACAGCACTTATTGGATGAGCCCTGATTTACAAGAAAGGGAAACTGAAAACTCCACATGAGCCCTGACCTCTGGGGACACTGGCGGAGAACGCAGAACAATTAGAAGGTGTGCAAGTTTCCCTTTCTGGGCTCCTCTGAGCAAAGTCGTGCAGATCCACTGTAATACTTTAGGCCCTCATTTAGCTAAAACCTGACCACTGAAACTAGGGCTGAAAGGCGTTAATAAAAATAAATAAAAATCACAATATATTCAGAATATATTACAGTGTCAGACCATCACATTTAAAGAGGACTCCAGTAAAAAGTAAAATAACACAAAATAATAATCAGCGCTACATTAGTCATAAATGCGGCCACTTGACCTCTTACAGGAGTGCCATGACATTCTCTACCGTGAGATTTCTTGCTTTAGAGACTAGCAAAACTGCTTTAGGATGAATAAAAAGAGAAAAGTTTGATACTATTTGAGATTAGTGCTATTTCACTAATGACGACTAGCACCACAGATGCATTTACTAGTCTCTACTAGGCTAGAAGTCAGGATTTGTTGCACACCTTAATCCCAAGGGTTGTGTGATGTATTAGCAGACTGCATGGATGGGTATTGTAGTGAGAGAGAACTGATGGACGAACACAGAACAAAATCTTGAATTCTGTCAAACCAGTGAGCCTAGAGGATGCCAAGCTGCACTACACAACATGCATAACATAAAAAAATAAAATGGTACTGAACGCTCCTTTAAGTTTGCATTAATAAAGTTAATGCACTCATGCTTCCACATACTCTATGCTTAGAAACTGGAGCCTGTTCTGGTTGGACTGTTCTGTTCTTAAAATACACTAAAACTTTTAAAATTACAAACTGTATCTGAAGACAATTTGAAGCTCTAAGCAAATGAACTGCACTTAACTGTCAAGTCTTAGATATCATGTGCAAAGTGCACACATTAGAATTAAAAGTGAAACTGTTGGGGATTATATTATGAATATAATAATCTATCAAAAGATAATCTATCAAATGCAATATATAAGAATATAGTATATACATACAGACACATATACACACGTTATATATATATATATATATATATATATATATATATATATATATATATATATAGCTATAATAATATAGCTAATACTTGACCAAAACTCAAAAGCAACACCATGTGTTAATATCATGCTATACCAGTTTAGAAGCCCAGCTCATACCAGGAACTTCTCTAAAATCAGAGCATTAGAGACCAAACAGACCCAAACAGGACCAAAACATTACAGAGAACTCGTGCCTCGGACTTTCCAACACCCACTCCTGGCTGCTTCTCTCTTCCTCAAACACACGTAACCTTTACAAGGATACTTTCGTTTTAAAACCTAACAGCAGCTCCAAAAAGGGTCTTAAAGAAACAGACACATTTATTAAACTTCATTACAACAAGGAATATCCCCACTGAGGCCCAAGGTCGAGGTAAAACGATTGAATGTTTCCACTGGCATACCTGTACACAAAGGTCTCCTCACACACTTCAGGTAAAACAGAAGCGTTTAAACTGTTCACAACAACATTAACGTTTCCTTAACGTTTACTACACTTTTTTACTTTATTATCTTATTTCCACACAGTGAACCTTTCAGTCATTTTAAAATAGAGAAACTGTCAGCGTAAACTGCGAAATGGAGCTAAAGACTTCATTTTATTCGAATTTCCCGTTCCACCTTAAATGGCGCAGCGGCTACCGCACCATTTAAGGTGGAACGGGAAATTCGAACAAGAAGCTCCTTCCCGATCGAGAAAAGTTCATCTCTTTATCTGGCTGGACTCGAAGCTAAAGCGTCGTTAGACGTGAATGGACCGGAGTACCTGCTGCTCGAAATACATCCATTCCCCGCTTCCCGAGTCGGTTTCCAGCGCTGGTATGTGAGCGGACGCTGGACACGTGCGTTCGCAGGCGTGTCGTACGTGACGGCGTTGTACTGCTCGAAGGAAAGCGCGAGGAAGCGCCTTTTCTTCCGCTCAGCGAGGGTCCGCTGACCGTTCACGACTACAATAGAGCCCCCCGCCGACCCCCTGCACGACTGTTCATGGACGAGGAGTCGAGGGTCAGAGACCTAACACACTTCCGAGCAGTTGTGAGGAAGAGGGGGGCGTGTGTTTACTACGTGGTGTTTAAACGATTAAGTTCACGTGAGTTCAAATAACTGAGGAGACTTTAAAGGGGAACTCAACCGATTTTTCAAAATTTCTGCATAATTAATGGTTGAAATGTAAATAAAGCCATTCAGAGTGGTTTGACGTGAAATTCTCTACAGGAATGTGCCGAGTCAGAATTGCTCACAGTGGTGGCGATAGGAACCAAACGTCTGAGGAGTTTAATGCCTCTGAAATCTCCCTTACAGACCAGCATTACTGAAAATGGGTTAATATAAGCTGCCTGATGTCTGACAGATAGTTTTGTGATGAAGTGTTGGCTGAGAATGTAATTTAATCCATTTATTTTAATGTATTTTTGGCAGAGGGGTACATGCAGGGTGTTGTAAGCCAAAATACTCCCCGAAGAATCAGATTTATGACTATTTTACCATTATCAACATTTGATAATTCAGTCATTGAAATGTAAACAAAGTCATTCAGAGTGGTTTGATGCTGGGTGGTAAAATGGTGCATTGTAGAGTAACTTACGGAAACTTACAGACCTGATTTCTTTACAGTGGTGATGATGGAAACCAGGGGTCACGATGTCTAAAACACAAATCTAGCCTTTTATTAACTATTCATAACTATTACTGTTACATTTTATTACATTCTATTACTGTTACAAGTTATTACAGAAAATATAAACCGAAAAAAATTCCTACATTTAAACCAAATTTTTGATATCAGAAATTCAAATTTCAACAAATAAATGTAGCATGGACATTTAGCATGCAAGATCAAAGTTTTCACTAGTACGCTTTCATAGCTTTAATTTTGAGGTGTTGAAATTCTAGTTATTGCATGCTTTTATCAATGTATTACCAGTGAATTATTTCACCTGTACAAGTCTCAACAGTTTCCATTAGTGATCTATATCTGGATCAGTAAAAAACAGGTTCAGTGAGTAAATAACTAAACACTTTAGACGCTTTAGGCCAGGGCTGGCCAAAGGTAGCCTGCGAAGACGTCTGATTTGGCCAGCCAGAAGGTTGCCCTAATCTACCCCTTCACCCAATTAGAGAACAGACATTTTTATATAACTTTAAGATATGATTCCCCCCCCCCAAATATTTATCGTAATAGTCATTATTAAATATTTTTTAAAACTCTGACCCTTAAATTAAACCTGAAATTAGAACGGATCTAGCTTACTTTGTTAATATGAAGCACATATCACTGTAAATACAAAATTATTGCTTCTTCGCAATCTGTATAACCACTTATGCCCACTTCTGAACTCTTTCTCATGTTTGATTTTACTACTGTGCACTACAGGCAGAAAGCCTGTTTTCATGATCCAATCAAAACATCATTATTTCCCACCCAAATATCATATTTTACTCAAAGATTAAGGGAAAAAAAATGTTTTAATTTCCGATTCAACTTTAATACCATATGATTATTACAAATCGCAACATAGGTGCATCACAACACATACAGAGCTACCAGCTATGAGGTAAAGACAAACAGAAAATGTATCTAACAGACAGTGGTACACAGACAAGAGTAGGTTTAGGGACCACTGGAGTGAAGAACATCTTCATGGGAATTGTTTTATTCAGGGAATTTAAAGTCAGAACAGTCATATGTAAGGAAATGGTCACAGTATTTAAAGGATACTACATTTGTCAACACTATGAAAGCACACATGCTGCAAATTTTTCCATATACACTTATGACGTGTGAAAACAAGGCCAACAAGCTAGTTAGCCGTTTTGTCTTTCTGACCCTTGGCCTAACACTGATATTACCAATCGACCTCTAAGACAGAAAGTCTGGCCACCCTTGCTTTAAACATAGGGCCAGTATTCAGCAGTCATACTATTAGCTTTATCAACACACACCTCACAATAAGGTTCACGGGTGGTAAAGTTACTATACAACTCCTAACTGATTCTTTTAATTAAAAAATGTCAATAGCTGGTGCCATGCATTTCTGTTTTGAAAGCAAATGTGAACTGTGAACTTTATGTAGAGGCAATGGACTGAAGGACATGAGTGAAATTCTGCAGCCCAATTAAACCCTGCTGACTGTATCAGTATACAGGGTGAGCACCTCAATACAGAGGCCTGTAATACTGTGGCAGTAGCAGTGGAGCATCAAACCACGGTAGTGGTTGTGGTCTGGTTTGTGACCGTACGGGAATAATGGTCACATAACCAAATTCTCTGGGCTTCGGAGATTAAAAAATGCTGTTAGTCAAACCACAGTCTCGTACCCACAGGAGACTCATAAACAAGGCCACAAAGTTTAGGGGCCAATCCATGAAGTCGTATGCAGAAGTTTGAATTCCCCTGGTCTTATTTTCCAACACGTCCTCTTTAGGGAACTTAAACATGGCATTTTTCTGAACAATTTCTGTTCATTCTGTCATATTCCTTTTTATTCAGGACATAAACAGTTATTGTTTATGGAGGATGTAAGTAAGAGGATGTGGTAACTTGTTTTCACTTAGAAAATCAACAAAATATGTTATGTGACCAGGGAGCCCAAACTTTTGCCCATGACTGCATACTCTGTGCGATGCAACACAGGCCGGCACCCTTACTAGAATGACAGAGGTGGCATGATATCACTTTTTCTTTTCTGATACCAATACCAATGTTGAAACCTTGCGTATCAGCCGATACTGACCTGATCTTTGCTCTTAAAAACTACTAAAGCTTTAAAATAAGCTATTTTAATTGAAGCCCTTAAGTTAAACATGTAAAAGCAGGGCTACTACTCCACAGAAAGACATGTCCAGCTAACATCATGACACCACACAATGTGAATGTGTGCCATTTCTGGACAGGTTTTAGTATTCTCTGCTGATACTTGGTCTAAAGGTGGGCGATACGGCAAAAATTTATGTTGAAGGATGTGTCTTACGACACTTTAAGAAGTTTTCACCATAAGTGTTGCAATATGTATTTTTCCTGACGTCAGATAAACTGGAAAAAACAAAGTAGTGCCTACGAATACAGTGATCTATATTTAGCATTTCATGTGCTTCGCTGCCCTGAATCCAACAAAACAGGACTAATTATACTCCGTAATCAAACATGCAGTTGGGAAGTGTTTTAAAAGTACTGACAATATCCATGATATGCTCAGAAAAGCACACTGTGACGTAATTTATCACAGTAACGCTAAATATTGTTATATTGCCCAGGCCCACGCTGATCAAATATCATGTTTTGTTGATTTTCTAAGTGAAAATAATTTAACATCTAAATTCAGCAAAAAATTAATTGTGTATTAAAATATGATGTAGCCTAGAAGAGTGTTCCCTTGTTTCTACTTGGAAAATCAACTAAAACATGTCATGTGATCGCAGGTGCCCAAACTTACTATAAAAAATTATAAAGCTTTAAAGAGCTGTTTTTAAATTGAAGCACTTCACTTAAGATCATCTAAAAGTAGTCCATCAAGCTGAAACTCAAACACTACTACCCCACAAGAAGAAACCCACACAGCCAACATCACCACATCACGTGGGTACACATTAAAAGTCTGGTCCATGTGAAGTTAAGTCAACCTTCTGCATAGCTTTTTCATAGCTCTCCTTGAATACGCCTGGGGTCTCCAAATCCCTAATCATACATAATATGACTTTAAACTGTATTTTGGAGACCTAACGTTTGACTAAACTAAGTTGAGAAAATGCTATGGAGAAGGTTGAACTGAAAGTTCAATTGAAACGTCTAATTTTTACAGTGTGTGCGTTATTTGAAGCTAGATTAGATCCGTTTTACCCCCTCAAACATCCAAGCCAGCATTCTCTGCAAACACTGGGCCGATACAGATACTCATCGATACCGAGATGCCATCTTTACTCTGTAACCATGCTTATAAAATGCAGTGCACTCACGGTACATACAGCAAATCTACTCATTTGTTAGAGCACTCGCTTGATTGCTGCTATTTCCAAATATAAATGGACTGTAATTGCTATGGCTCTGCACTTCAATAGAACGCATTAATTGCAGCCCTTTGCCAGATACTTAAGATGCTAACCTGGTGAATACAATGAGTATAATACAGTGCAGCCCTGACAGGCAGTTAAATGAATCTGTTTCTCCTCAACTTAACAAGCTACAATAAACTGTGCAGGCAATCTCGATCGCAGCTTAGGTGTTATCTGTTCTGCTTCTGCAGCGGAGCTCACAACAGCGAATACACACTTCCCTGAACGACACACCCCCTTCAACCACACTGCAAACGTCTGCCATGATTGTAAATCCATTTCACTAGTTCACCAATGACAAATTCAGCCAACCGTTTAAGTGCCTGGCGATTGTGGTGCGCTTGTCTGAGCACTTTCTTACCTGAGAGAAGAGCAGCGGAGGAGCTATGTGGTTAAACGCCGAGGAAAGAGTTTACAGAAGGAAAGTCTGAGCAAGTTTTCCACTCTTGGTTTACAGTGTCAGTACTCTTCTGAAGAGCTAGCGAACTCACTCCTCCTCCCTCACTCACTCCCCTCTCCACTCCCACCATAACTCTGATGGTGACACTCTCTCTCTCGCTCGCTCACCCTCTCTCTCTCTCTCATACACACACACAGCTTCTCTCCACCTCCCTCCCCTAAAAGCTTGTTCTCTGTTTATTTCTGTTTCCAGCCTCCCCTTCTCCAATTTCTTACCATGTCTGCACTGAAGATTTCCTATTTCTGATAGAAGGAGAAAACGTGCATCAAAGTTTTTGGACAACCGAACAGGACTGTTGCAATCTAAAAGAAAAGGTGGGCGAGAAACTAATTCAAGATGTAGTCGATAAGCTGAGACACATTTGGAGTCAAAATCTTCAGTTTAGTTTTAAACTGAAGCGATGAAGCTAACGCTGCTAATAATCACTAGAAGTCAATAGTCACCCAAATCTTTTCCACAAATACAGTCCTGAAACCCCTGTCAACCTGCTCAAACTGCATCCAGGTCTTCTTGTCGACAAGCACAATATGACTTACTGTGTAGCCGAGTAGATGATCTCTGAGGGCAGCTATTACACACAATGGGGGTCTTCTGCCAATTTCTGTCTCCCTTTTGCATGCAGGCAGGCATACGGGTGGCAAGAGTATTTTCAAGTTTTGTTGTTTTGTTTGCATTTGCAAGTAGTTAAGTGTACTATATTTCCCTTTGCCTCTAACTGAATAGCTGTTCATTAACTCTTATGGATACTCGAATATCAAAAATAATCAGAATGCACATCCCTAATTTATCACCATGCAAAGTGCCAAATAGTCATTGCACATTCACTGAGAAGGTAGGTTATAACAAGTGATTATCAAGTTCAGCTGAGTTATCGTGACAGCCTTAGAACTGAGTTACACAAAGCAAGCCGCAGATCAAACACAACTGTTCTGCAAGTTACGATAACAACAATATTTATCTTAAAGATGACCCCTCCCACCCTCCCCTGCACAAACACACACTGAACATTAGGACATACTAGCTTGCTATAGATTCCTGTGGCAGTACACCTTGTCTCTGCAGGGCATGGTTTACATTCCCTCAGTCACACCCTCTACAGTGGGAAGCAGGTTGATGCTTGCACGTCCTCAGCTGACTGCACCGTGTATTGTAGTGACAGTAGATTGACCGCAGGTGCCCTGCACCCCGCTCTTCTAAAGTGCACGTTCTTGCTTAAGCTCAGCCCACCCTCCCCACGCACTTCACTCACTGCATCGGCTATGAGGATTACTCAACGGCAAGCGCAATCCACCTGGGCCTCCAGTTAGCCTTTATTCAGAATCTGCAGAGCAGCTGGAGCAAACAAAGCAGTCATCGCCAAGCAAGTTCAACACACAGTGACCGTAGTCTTGCTGGGAAATATGCATGATGAAAGTGTTAAAGAGTGGACACACCTTCCATTTTCTTCAGAAGACAAATATTGGATGCAAAACAGTGAAGGGAATGGCCCTTTACGAACAGAGCTGACGAAGAATACGTTTAAGTCTACAGGCAACTTTATGTCAGCTTGCATTAGAAATCGGTGTACAGCAATATGCTCATAAACATCAAGAACAACAGTTGATGAACACTAAAAAGGGTGATGCAAGATGGCTAGGGATGCACCGAGATGGGAATTGTTCGATGATGTCCAATATTTTTTTTGACGTACATATCTGTCAATCTGTCGTTTATTCAATTACGATTTATAAAATTAAAACGTTCAAAGAAATCAGGACTAAACCTACCCTTTTAGCATTATGGAGAGACACAGCATTTATTCGTAGAGATTTATAAATT